AGCTAAAGACACAAACTAGCAACACATACTTTTGTGTTCGTGCGCGTTGGCGCGAAAAGGTTGCTTGTCCGGCGCGGATCCGGTAAGGGTAAGGCTCGCTACTTTTCACATGGTAGCGGAGCGCTGCTCCGATAGCGCTCAGTAAGATCCAGGCGCCAGGTGTATGTCGTCGCCTTTGGGTAGAGTCGAGATGCGTCCAGCAGGTTGCCAGGAAACCCAGGAACCTTAGAACAAGGCCATGTAGGTGGCTCTATTCCCAAAAGCATCCATGCTAGCAACATCCCAACTGACATCAATGCCCTCTTGGAACCCTGCTATCAACAATGAGATCCTACCATGACCCGCAAAAGCCACTTTCAGGATTGCAAACAATCGAATAGCTCTACTCTGTTGGTCACTGCTCAAGGAACGCCAAGCAATTGGGGCACTCCACCGACTAGCCTGCTCGACTTCCCGACTGAACACCGGACTGCCTTGGCTGCACCAAGCCACGAGTTCAACCAAGTACTGTTGCCATCCCAACACTTCATCTTCTCTATGTTTCCAAGACCCATGGTTTGGAACCGGGGCTGACCTAACCACTTTTCCGTTTTGCTAAAAAACGTCCTTTTCGTTTGACCCTCGTCCCCCGTGCACCATACCAGGACCAGGAAGCTGTAACCGACGTTCATCGGGCACAAACCCGGAAGCAAAGGTTTCTTCTGGAGCCTGTCCAAGTCTCTCAGGCACAAACTGGCCTGACCCTGACTGCAACTGTCTTTGTGTTAACTGAAAAAACCGACTGCAGTTCCCTGGCGTTTAAAGACTGCAACAACTGCTGTACTTGCAACAAAGGACCAACAGTCACACTGTTTCTTCCATTTCCGTTTCCGTAACCTAAAGGCTGCTGAACTGGCATGTGTGCTTGCATATGCGGTGCATGTGCATGTGTTCCGCTGTGCGCGCTACTTCCTGGCGAAGGTGGTACTGGAACCGCATACGCCTGTCCAACCTGTTGCGCCCCAACCTGCCGAGCGTTCCTAACCCGATAGTCCATCCAAGGATCTGCCTGCCCGCGCGCCCCCCTTACCAGAAGCTGCGCCGACAAAACCTGGACTTGACATCTGGCCTTGACAACTGCACTCCGGCAGGTCAGTTTCGAGCAGACAGAGGCCCTGCGCGCGATATATACCGGAGGGAAGCTTCTGTGGATCAGGCATCGAGCACTTAGAATTACCAGCAGACTTCAACTTCGTAGGACCTATTGCATGTGAAAACTGCAAGAGGTTGCAGAGAGTTGATCTCTTTGGTACTGATATTACTACCATATGGGGATCGACTTTTTTCGCACTGTTCGCACTTGGAGCAAATATGCTTCCCTCGAAGGTTACGACGCATAGGCAAAGAAGCCTTTCTGCTTTGTTCCTCGCTGCAAGAGGTGCGCGCCCCGCCCGCCCTAATCTACATTGCTCACCGAGCCTTCTTTGGGTGTGCACAGCTCAGTCGGCTCATCAAAATGGAAGACAAAGCCACATGGAGAGGACCCTATGTTGAAAGAGACACCTTCGAACTGTGTGACAAGTTGCAAATGCCAGGATAGATCAACCTCCTACCGCCTAATCAATGAAAAAAAAAGTAAGACTTTCAATGCCGAAGAATTTGATGATGAGCTACGCAGGAACCTGCGCTAATGACTCGCTTGCCCGTCTCAGGCTGGCACCTCAGTGTCGGTCCTGTAGGCGACATCCTTCGCTGTTGCTGTCACCCCTGTACAGCACAACAACCTAGATAGACAGCTCCCAGGCTGGCGCCTCAGTGTCGGTCCTGGATGAGTACAAAGTGTACAGTGTTACTTGGGACACCAGACGTAGGGTAACGACGTTTCACCTTGTTTCACTCTTGTAGAGGGGCACTGCATGGTACAGGCATTCAACAGACATATGACTCTTAGCATCGAGCGCAAGTCAACGCAAGCCAAGCGGCTCCCAATGATCATCTAGGCTCCCCCCTCGAGCCTGATGGCGTACTTGCCTTTCTGTGACCTCCCGTGGCAAAGCTGTTCAGGAGTCATCGCTGCAAGTCTTGGAAGTGGCATCATGGTCCTCCTCCCCTTTGGGGAGGAGTTGACAGCTGTCGTAGGGAGTGCCTTGCTTCGCAACTACATTGATTTCGGCTGCACTGCTGACCTGTTCCCGACAGTTTGAAGCTCTCGGAAGCATTTCGCAGTGGTTTTCCCTGGGGCCTTGTCAATTCAGGCGAGCGAACATCCCTACATGTCTTGCAAGTCGCTTGGCGCCCGTGAATGCATGACCGTAAAGGTGGCTTACAATGCTCTCCAAATGCAATTTCGTCCACAGCGTCCTGACTCAGGACGCTTCGCTGTCTGCAAGGAAGAACCAGGAAAGATGTGAGACCTCAATGAAGAAAGCAACTCAACACTACCTTGCGGTCAAGATGAACTGAGAGCCGGTGCTGAATTCATTGCCCCTGTTTCACCTTCTCCTCTTTTGGTCGACGCAGCCGCTTGAGCTACATACCAGTTTGCGGTTTTTCGTTTGGGGTTGGTTTTTCAGGCTGTTTGGGTTGGTGGTTTTGTTTTGGTTTGCTTGTTTTGTTTGGTGTTTTCTGCACCTCAATCTGGCTAGTAACTCTCACTTCACTAGCATAAGATGACCTGTGCAACCTCTGCACACATGGCGTCTCCACCCGTGCAAAAAAGAAACATCGGCGGGACTGCGATTTCTCGCAGTACCGCGCAGTCCATAAAGGCTTTGACGTGGATGGTGTGTAGCGCCCTAGGGAGCCAAATGTGTTGGAGTCGTACACAGCTAGAGAACGTAAGCTCCTGGATTACCGAAATAGAAGTGCAAGAGAGATCAACAAGTGCGAGTAGTTTGCAGTTGTCGCAGGCATGAGATCCGAGCCAGCGGAAATCTGACGGCAACCGAAGGTCACTTAGTCCTGACGAACAAAAGCATCCTTGCGGTATTTCTCGAGATTGGGCAGGCGCGACCTGACCGGGTTCAGTCACAGCTTGCATGAGTGTTACGTTGGCGAGATTGAGACATGCATCAGAGAGGTATGGGGCCAGCTTGGCCCAAGCGGGTCAACAGGACATTGAATGTTGGACGTTGGTTGAATTTACAGTTTCAATGCATGTGGTAGGTAGGCTTGCTGACACATCTGAACCAGCAGCCTACAATGTTGGTGGAATGTTTGATTCGGTGTAAGGTTGCGCCAGCTGAACCAACCTTACATCGATACACGTCATTTCTGGACACTACGAAGCATTTTGCGGTTTAGAATTCATGAAACCTTTTGTAGAAATCGTACTGAAAGTACCGGAACAGCATGTACAAAGGGTACATTGCAAAGGCAACAAGGGGCCTTGACCTGTGTCGCATAGATGATGCGATCCTTGTTGGAGCAAGATTCGACTCCGAAACGTCGCAATTTTGAGGCGGCGTGTTAGACTTTGTGAACCTACTCAAATGTAGTATCTGTTCATATCACTTTACCGCCGGAGCGTGTGGGTCCAAAACAGGGCGCTGCCTAACAGATCCAGAGGATCAGGATTGCGATCCAAGACGAAGTGGATCACAACCACACGCTCAAGAGGATGGTAAACATCATCCCAACCGCAAGCACAGAGAGGATGGTAAAATATCATCCCATCAAACTCGAAAAGCGACTGGCAGTGAAAAGAGAGCAGACGAGAGTCGGAGTGCAGCTTTTTGGGCTTACACATGTACTAGAACATTGAGTATCTCTAGAACAAATTGGATCTGCGCGCTTTCTTCTGGCCAGGTGTTGGATGAGCTTGATCATGACAAGCGAACTGATTGTTGATTTTTCATCATGTGGTGTTTTGAAGGGGTGTCTACAAACATAAGAAACTGGGGGGCCCATTGTGTCAAATACCTCCACAGGCGGCGTCGCTTGACCACCTTCCGATCGGCTTACGAAAGCTGTAAGTGAACCGAAATGTGGGTGAATCTCTGCAGGACCTGCTGCAAAAACGTGCAATCCTGCACAATGTTTTTTTTGGGCAGGACCTGAAACACTGCAAGAACACATGCAAACCTGCATGAACGAATGGCAGACATCTTTGCTTCCCTTCGAACAGCCGTTTCATCTCACCTTTATTCACCCTTTGTTTCTCTCTCTCTCTCTCTCTCACCAGCTCACAATTTTTTTGTAAATATTTTTTCATCGCAACGCAAACATTTACACAAGAGCTACTATACACCTAAACGCTCCGACCATCCGCCTCTAGTTTTTTTTGGTTGTGTGTTCTCCTCCAACTTGACAGTTGAAATTTGAGGCGCTTGATCTCGGTGCGCAATTCCTATGTTTGGAAGGTTCGGGGGGCTGGGTAGGCCTGAATACGAATGAATTTGTTTTGAAAACATTCGTGTGACACAAGTAGCACCAGGGATGCGTGCTGCAATCTATGTGTTGTGCATACAGTTCAGCACTCTGTCCATTTGATGCGGTTTTGTCGAGGTTTGGCACTATGTTGGGGTCCGTTTGAAAACATCGACCAATAAATTGTCCACAAGCATCGGCCACGCCTGTTGAATTTATCACACAACATATTGGCATATTGATGATGAATAAGTCCCAACTGAACGGTTTTGTGATTGACATGCAATCCGTTTGAAGGTCGTTACGTGGCCTTGCGAGACTCGAACCCACCCGGTGTTAAACGATGGTGCACTGCGGAGGATTGCAATCGGTCAAGGTTTGTTACGTCGGTAGGTCTTGTTGCCACCATTTGTTTCATGACGGTCTCATTGGTTTTGGTTTTGTTTCAGCGCAGCTTTTACCAGCTGCAACATGCTGCAGTTGGGGAACGCACTGGTCGAACTAACAGATCTACCAGTCATCCAGGGCTGACACAGGAGCAAGGAAGCTACTAGTAGCTCCTGGCACCTGGCATTATCAATTTGTTGAAAACAAACGCCCTTTTTACACTGCGTTGGTCGCATTCTTAGAATGAGGGGGGACCCCGATATTGTTGAATTGGAACACGAAAAATCCTTTCTTCAGTTCCACCATGCCGTTGGCCGAAGCTGGGATGGCGACTGGTTTCGATGACCTAGATTTGCCAATGCTGGACAAGTAGCTTTGTTGAAATAAAACACACCATGCCTTTGAACTTCTAATAGCAATGGCCTCCAACTTAGACGCGATGGCCTCCCGTTGCATTGGTTGTGGTTGCATGTTGCTTTCATTTTACATCCCGCCTTAAAGATTCGGCGGTGACATTGCGGGTGGGATGTGAGAGATTTTCCTGAGGCACCTGTTCACCATGCTAAATTTGGACGTGACGTTGCCAGCCGTGGGTGCCCACAGAAGCTTTGGCTTCAAATTGCGACCCTCTGAACACCAGCCACGCCGGCGTGTTTGGAGAATCTCTTGATGGGAACCTGTCGCTTCGTGCTCGCGTGAGGCATGTCTTCGATGTGCTTGAGAAGTTTCTGCAAAACCTTTTCCAAGAGCTAGACTTGGTGACGTCCGGTGGTGGGAGCCTAAGAGGGCCTAGTGACGGAGACGTCCGACGTCCACTTCGTGTCAGTGAGGCCCAGATCTCCAACGAGACTATTTGGGTGTGCGTGATCGAGCAGCGGCTAGCATGGATGAATGGCAGGGTTTGGTGGATGACTGGAAAGGAAGCTTATTGACCAGGCATCCCAGGGCGAAGCGTGGCAAACTACTGGGTAACTAGTAGCTTCTTGCTCCTAGTAGTACGGCCAGGAGCCCCTAGTAGTGTTTTTTTTAGTGCAACAAGCGAAATCTCGCTGTTTTTGTGAAATCACCAGGCTGGGCGACTTGGGGAATGAGCTGACAGAGGTTAAGAAGAGCGAGACGCGTCTGCGACAGCTGTTGGAGCAGAAGGAGATGGAGTGAGATGGATTGTTCTTGCTAGTACTCGTAGTTTCTTGTTACTAGTAGTAAGAATGCTCCGAGTGGCGATGCCAGGAGCCCCTAGTAGCGTCCTTGCTCCTAGTAGCGATGCCCTTTGCTCCTAGTAGTTTCTTGTTATTAATAGCGATGCTCTTGTTACTAGTTGCGATGCCCTTTGTTACTAGTAGCTTCTTGTTTCTGACGACTAGTGTATGGAGTGCGACATGGAAACGCAAAAAACACAAAATAAGATTGACCCAATCGTAGCAAAGGCCCACGGTTGGAAAGGCTTGCGGCCTTAGCGCCGACCCTTAGCGCCCTAGCCTGGAATTTCTCGACGCAGGAGGCAGAGCTGTCTGAGATTCGAGAAGAGAGCCGGAGCCCCGAACGTAGCGTCCTTGTTCCTAGTAGCGATGCCCGGAGCCCCGAACGTAGCTTCTTGTTCCTAGTAGTAAGGCCGGAGCCTAAAGAAGGACTTGATGCGAGTCAGGACACGACTTCACACGAGCCTCGCGAGATGTCGAGCCGTTCTGGTTGTTTTGATGCCTTGAAATGCAACACATGCAAGAAAGCGGCTTTGCACAGTGCTCCGCACAATCTTTTGTGCTAGAGCAGCCTTGAGAAAGCACTGGATCCTCCTTTTGTCACGCCAGGAGGAGGTGCTCTGAGGAGAGATTAGAGAAGCTAGGGCTGAATGATCAAGGTACGGTCACGCTTTTGGACATAGCGGGTTTGTTCCTATCTTCATGTTTACAGTGACTACAAGCTACTAGTAACAAACAAAGGGCATCGCTACTAGGAGCAAGGAAGCTACTAGTAGCTCCTGGCCTTTCTATTAGTAACACGAAGCTACTAGGAGCAAAGAAGCTACTAGGGGCTCCTGGCCTTACTACTAGGAGCAAGGACGCTACTA